TACCACTACAGGGTCCTATAAGGTCTCTCGACCTCTCTTGGATCCCGAAGTGCCAGCTCTCCGATATGCCGGACACGCTGGTTCACATGACCGAGTATCGCCACAGCCGTTCGATTTTGCCGTACGGTCTCCTTCCCGGAGGCGGCAGTACACACGGCAATAGGCAACGCAACATGAATCACTTTTTGCCGATCGACGGACTTTTGGTCTCTTATGAACACATTCGACCAACGGCCAATGTGGCACTCTTCTTGTCTAAGGCAACGCTGGAAAAGCATCCAGAGCTCATGGAAGACTTTAGCCTGAGCAAGAATGGATACTTTTTGACCAAGGCCGTTATTCCGGCCGGTCTTTTCAGTCTTGCATGGGACATCCGGAACAATTGCTGTGTGTCAACTAAGCTGTGGGATGTCCCAGACTCCACTCCAGCCATGTCAGTCCCCGATGAGCCGTACTTGCGCTTTTATTCTCAGCTCTATTGCGAGGTACTGAGGCTGGTAGGCAAAGGCCACGATAAGTTCAAGATTGAAACAAGACGGCTTGCGTTTAAGAATATTAAGATTCGCGAGGTCGAGGCATGGCGCGATGAGGCCGAGGAGAAACTTGATCGCCATCAGCTCCACGGCATGTCCAAGATCCACACTGAGACATGGCTGAATTTTCTCTCCCTCGACGACGACTGGAAGGATGAAGCCACCAACATGCGTCGTCTCAAGAAACGCTCATTGTCGGAAGCGACCGAGGAAGAGGGATATGACCTGATTGATGTCGATGATGACGACGACATGGAGGTCGATGCCGACATTCCGGCAGACGACGATGATGATGTTCAGGTCATAAGTAATTTAGATGAAGCCATGGTGGACGACCTTGCAGAAGCACGCCAGAAAGGAACCTGGGTCAAGAAAGGCACTGTGAAGAAGGAAGAGTCCGATATGCCGGACGATCCTTCAGCAGCAGCCTCATCGTCTGCAACAGTCAGGAAAGAAGAAAAGCAGAGCACAAGGGTTTGGTCCTCCCGGGCAAGGTCACGCACGCCAACTCGCACTGTCCTTAAGAAGGCTGACCATGCACCGGGAACAGCCCGCACTCCCTCCGAGGGTCGCCGAGTTTCGTTTTCCGATATTCCGGAAACGAAGTACATCGAAGCAACATCCAAGAAGCGCGCGACCTCGCGAGCGCGGGAGGTCATCAGCGATGCAAGAAAGGCACAGAAAGCACCAACTAAGTTCCATCATCGCCCAGAAGAGATGACCTGCCTTACCTGTGCAAATGCAGACGTACTCTTTTTCTGCCGAGCACGCCGACATGGAACATGCCTTGATTGCTATCATGATGTCAGCAACCATTGCTCGTGCAACAGCATTTATCTCTGTTCGACCGTCCCAGACGCCGATATTCCGGCACCGCTGGGTGAGCATGAGCGCGAAGAGATCACGGCAGAAATTGATTTCACGATTCCCTTCGCAGCCGAATCCGAGGGTTGGCGCCCGGACGACCGATATGCCGGTCGATTGCACCGTCTGCAAGAAATCAATTATCTTGTTCTCGGTGGCGGCTCAACAGGTTATGCAGCGATGGATCGAATTATCCTCGAAGGAGTCAGCATAAATACCATTACACAAACCATCCAACCTACAGGAGCCGTTCCATTCCCTCGATTGCTCAACACTGGGACGAACAGTCTGATGTGGCACCGTATCCAATCATTCGGCCAAGCTGCTTTTACGACTCCAATCGCCGATATTCCGGCGCGGAGATGCGACAGATTGTCGAGTTAAGCCGTTCGTACATGCAGGGATATCGCGCGAACCAGGGAGACTTTGATCTCGATGAAGCAAGACTTCTCCGATCGACTGAACACGTCAGTGTCCTGCTTCTCAACTTCGGCGATATCAATCGTACACCTCACTTCAACGGCAGGCAGCCACTATCCAGGGAGCTCGCAGAGACCGATCAATACGCTGTGCTTCCGCATTACCTTGTCAGGAACACAGCTCATATCACAATTCTTCTTGAGGCCAACGGCATCGAGCGTCATCGAGAGCTCTTTAACCAATATAAATGCTTGAGCATCCTGGCCCTGGCGGATGGAGAGTCACCTGCGATTGCAGCAGTCTGTTCCAGTGATCCACTTGGCACTTCGAGGCTGGAACTCATCCGCCGAATCGAGCTCGAAGGCGAACGCCTAGCCTGGGTAGCCCATGCCGCGACATTCCGCGTGATCTGGGGAAAGGTCGAAGAATCCACAGATGGAGGCATCACCGATGACCGTGGAGTAAGAAGAAACCTCCGAGTTGCCCTTGAAGAAGGCGCTGATCCAGCAAATAACATGGAGGCAACTGTCTGCCCTGATACCTTAGCTGTAGCACAAGCATCCACCACTTACATTGAGGCTTCGCCAGTGGATGCAGAGGCATTGTTCCACGAGTGTCCGATATTCCGGACCGGGAGCCTGAATGACTGCAAGCGCATGCACATGCCTGAACTTCGAGTCTGCGCTTTCCATATCAATGCCCATGCCTTTCAGTCAGGTATTACGGCCGGTAAGAACGCCATTATGAAGATTTTGATCACGGCCGTGGCAGACCAGGTGGACGTCATCGCGTGCGATGCTAATCAGTTCACGAACCGCAACTTCCGGGGCCGATCCAGGAACCGGAGCTGTCCTCACCATCCTTGACCAGATCCTTGTTTCTACGAACAAGAAGCGTGAGCCGAGCAAGCGCATCACCTATAACTGGGAGGTCTCAACCCTCGCCAGCGAGCAGCTCGCCGCTCTGGAAGGTCTGGATGCCGATTGCGACTGCTTGTTGCAGATCGCCTTAAATTACGGCAAGGACACGCATACGTTGCGGTCAAGGACATCCGATATTCCGGATGATCGTGGACGTGTCGGATATGAGCAGCCTCTACGCCAGAAAGAGACTACCATTAAGGTCAACGAACTCCTTAAGCACTTGAATCACCTTGATCTGTGTCTGAAGAGCAGCGATTTGGTTACCACCACCCATTTCAGTGCAACTTCTCACTTGCCAGCCGACACAAGATCAGAGTTCGTGGCCAGCAATCCGCCGAGAAACGTGGCGAGAAGAATGCCGAGCGGCTTGAATGGTTGAAGGAACAATCTCGGCAGAAGAAACAAGCTCGCCAAGCTGGCTGGCACCAGCCCTGGTCCTCGGGAGCGTCAAGCTCATGGTGGTATACCGGTTCATCTTCGTCATCTTGGAACCCCGGTTACCGAGGCTACAGGGACTGGTAGGTAGTCTCTGCTCTAAGAAGCCGATATACCGGCTAGAGCACAGCCGAGGCAAGTAGTCTTTGAAAAGCCGATATTCCGGCTGACTACAGCTAAATGCCACAAAGCTAAATGCAGTTTAAATGACCCAGATATATCTAAACTAAAGGCCTTATAGATTTGACTTGAAAAAGAAGATTTCCGACATTCCGGAGCGTTCGATGCAGCAAGTATGCCTTTCGTAGATTTGTAAAGATTATCTGACGCAATCTAGATGAGCCAGAATGGCATCTACGGTTGAGTTCTGCGAAGACAGAACTTTTTGAATTCATTTGCATCCTTTTGCGAACCTTTGTACTTTAGCGATCGTAAGCTTCGACGCGAAGAAAATTTGTGTCTGTTTTGTGTTTAGTAGGGTCCTAGGTCCCCCTAGGCGTGTCTACGCTATACGTGTGTAGCACCTGTTCTTGTACATAGACTTGTATGTAGCTCTTCAGTCCGCTTTCGACATAATTCATTTGGCTCAAGACTTCGTAGCCCAATACCTGCATCCGCAGCCATTGAAAAGGTGTGCATCGCTGCCGCTCGCACACCGAACGCATTCGTGTGACTTCACTTGGTGTTTCGATCAGGTCCAGTTATCCAACTGCCACTTCTGGGGGAACTTACCCCTCACCCCCCTCCTCCCCTCCACTCCCCTCCCCGTCCCCTCCCCCCGTCGCCAGCGCTACTAAATTCTGGACATAAGGTGAAGTCACGCGCTTAACAGTCACAGCAGTACGACGCTGGCCATGAGGTTGCGCAATACAGCACGAACCCTGCGCAATGAGGTCGCGCAATGCAGCTTCGATGCCGCGCGTGCGCGCCCGGCAGCCTGACACGGCGCGTACTGCGTTCACAGACCATATTGCTCGACACCAACGAGCATCGATGCAACACAGCCTCTCTGCAAAGCCCTGTGGAGAAACCCCTCGCGTCGCGGAACACCATTCGACTCAGCCTTATACCCTAGCGTGGCGAAATCTTACCGCATCGTGGAGCACACCCACCATAGCGTGACGTCCATCCCTGGCAGTACCGGCCGCACCCCTCCAGCACTATCCTTACAAGGGGGTTGGTCACTGAGTCACTGCGGCTTCGACGCAACGCGTGCAGGCCTGTAATCCTGACACAGTGCGTGCCTCTGTGGGACCATAGCTGGTACACATGCGAGCGTTTACGCATTGCGACTTTTACGCGCGCCTGTTTTCACACACCTAGACACAAACGAGCGACCGCAACGGAGTTCCTCTTGAGCCTTCTTATGCCTTCTTGTGCTCTCTGGCTTTGTTGGTTTCATCCATGATTGACCAAGGGGCACGTTCCTGAAACACCGGAGACAGTTCCTCACCAGAAAAGGTCCCGACAGCTACTCGGTCCGTCTCTACCTTTCGTGTTTCCCCGCTCAAGTGTTTTATTTTTTGGGGGGGACATCGGCGGTTGACGGCTAGTTTGTGGCATGGTTCAATGCTACTACGTGGTTGCACAAATGCATGATTGTGATAAGTGGTTCTTTTGTCTATATTTGTCGTGTTTTTGGGTTGGCAATTCTTTTTTGTAAGTGGCAGGTTCCCATTTTGTGGTTAATGGCATGGTGGGCCATGTCAGGCCAATTATTCGCCGCTAGGGGACGCCAGAGCAAGGAAAACACATGAATTACCCAACCCAAAACCTTCCGCGTGAGAAGCACGCAGAAAAAATACCCTTTGCGCAGACAGCCGAATTGGCAGTTTTTGTCGTGGCTCAAACATTTGACGCTGGGGTGACACGTTGTTAGGTAAGTCTTGCACGGGGCCTCAGTATGGGATCGCCGTCAATGTGTCAGGGTTCCGAAGGTCCACAGTACAAGAAAATGTGTCAGTTATACAATGATTGATGTTGTTGCCCGTGCTCCGCCACCCAAGTGTCCACACCAAGGTGGAAGATGACTCGCGAGGAGGCCACCAGGGCCGTGAAGCAACAACGTTGTGGGGGCTGAAACGATTTTGTGCGCAGGATGGTTGGGCAGGATTTTGGTCTAGCTTCAAGAAAGCAACAGAATCACCTCGATTTTCCTCCTTATCGACAAAGCGCGGTTTGATGCTTGCTTTGGGTTGTGCTGGTGCGCAGTTACTTCAAACCAGGCCTGTTTGCTCGTATTCCTTACTGTTGTGATCGGCATTTGCGCGTCCGCAGGTTGCTGCCCCTTTGTTGTTGGCAACGCGCCCTTTTCAGCCAGCATGGCTTGCCCTTAGCTCAGTCACACCGTGTGTAGGTGGGGTTTGATCTTGTGAATGCAATGCAGCTGTTGATTAATAACCCCCAATTTAGATTGCAAAGTTCATTTCTGTCATCAAAAGTCTACCTGAGGAATCTTTGGAAACGACTGAGGGGGGAATTGGAACCTTTGCGTTGTGGCCACTCACGCCGTGGCCATGAGGTGGCCATGCCCCAGACCCGTGCCATTTTGGCAGCCGGACTCTCGGATTGGACCGCCCACGACGACCCACGATGTCCGCGTCCTGCCAGTTCAACATGTGTCACAGTTGTTTGGTTTGCACCCAGCAGATCTGTTTCCCGAACGCGAAAAACCTACGATTTTACCACAGCGCGTGAGGCAGGCGGGATTGGACCGCCACCTCGACAAACCACCGCAGCCGATGAGACCCATCAAAGTAGTATTTTGCCCTAGATGGATGGTATCCACGGGTTTATCTCGATCTCTCTCTCTCTCTCTCTCTTTTTTCTTTTTCCTGCTTAGGAGCCAGGCAATTTTGCCGTGTTCGCCTTGCGATGTTCCAAGAAGTGGTTGGGCTGGGTGATGGCCAGTGTGTGGAAAGGAAGTCTGAAATGTGAGTGACTTTCTGGCCAATCCTTGACCTGGTTTCCACCTGGGAACCAATTGTCCTGGATGCACATCCCATGAAAGGGGTTCCAGGTGCCTTTTTGGTAGGTGCATGGTGTTCTTTTTAATGTTGGCCGCGCTTGCGGCCAACAATGGCAGCAAGCAACCGAGGCTAAAAATGACCAGGTTGTTCCAAACTTTGCTCTAAAAACGGCAGCCGGAATCTAAAGATCGTTCCAGTGGCGCCAGCTGATTGTAGAAGGCACTCCCCCCCCCCCCAAATCCCTAAGTCACTCATTCAGCTGCCAGGTCGAGGCTCAGAAAACCGCGATGGTCTACAAACATCACCAGGCGGTGAAAGGCGCGGATGCCGCACCACTGATCGTGGGGGACGCGACCGCCCTCCCCGGTCGCGCCGAACGACGCTTCACCAGAGGCGGGAGGCGACCAGTCCCTAGAAGTCGAAGCACCGTTTTACCATCGGGTTTTAGACTACAAAACCAGATCCCATTTTAAACATGGTCGACTTGACTTCCAGGGAGTGAGCACATATCGTTCGTCGCCTGAAGTGTGATGTCCCCAAGCTGAACCCTACATCCGCACGAGAAATCGATGTGTGTGTGTGTGTGCTGCAGCCAGTTCTTGAATCGCTTCCAGGGTTGATCCCCTCACCTCACCTGATGAGCGGATAGATGTAAGCTCTTGGATCCTCTTGCGCCACTCAAGGCTGTAGTGAGGCGCGTACGAATACTTCTGGTATACTTCCTGTATATTTACTTTCTTTGCGCCCTCATGCCACACGAAGACCTCATCAACTTGGTGGTGCCCGCAGGCAAAGCGGCCAAGGCCAAGGTCAGCGCCGACATCATCAACAAGGCGCCGACGTGCTTTCGACCTCCGTTGGAAGGAACACCTCGGAGTCTTCCGCGTGCGAAATGGAAACAGCGGAGGTCAAACCACCCGGTGGTCCCCCCCCCCCCCCCCCTGCTAAGAGGATCAATCGAAGGGGTTTGGTCTCCTAGCACGGACAGGTCAAAGGCTGCAGGGAACTTGCTTCTGTCCGCTGCAGGTTGGTGATTTGTCCCGCCTCTTGGCCTTTCAGCCGCAGTACAAGGCACACGCGAGGTTTGGAGCTCCGGTCATGCTCCGGAGGGGTTTTGAGATGTTTTGAGGGTCTGGACGGGACCTGCCCCAGCATGGCCGCCCAAAAAGAGGGGATACCACCAGGTGTGGAATGAACAACTGCCCTCCTTCCGCCCAAGGGGGGCCCTGAGTTCGAAGGGGCCCTGAACTGTTTCATGTGGACCCTTGGCCGGGGTTTTCGGGGCTGAAATGCGGATCCTTGTGGCCCCAACACTGGCCGCATGGATGCCCTGAGAGTGGGGACCTTTCCTTCCCTTTTCGACACTTTCACTCCAGGATGGTTCCAATTACTCTGAAACACGATCCTGGATTGTTCCAGGATGTTTTCCATCCAGCCGCTCCCCCAAGATCTCTTTTTTTCCACTTCTGAAACGGAGCTGCCCAAGAACGGAGCCGGGCAGGCGCAGTTCCGCGCGCGCCCAGACGTGTCGCAGGGTGAGCTGGTGCGCGTGACGGACCGGGTTTGAGCGCGGCCGTGCGATGAAGAAACTGGACGGATCAAGCGGGAAAAGGTTGAAAGAGATTTTGTTCCCTCTCTTCCGAATCCATTGAAGAAGGCGAGGTCCCACCTGAAAATTGAGGGGCAAGTGGGCTTGAGGCATTGACATCAACAAGAATCAAATCTCTTTGAACATCTGCGTCCCCATGGGAATGGCCATGTTTTTGGTCAACTTGTTCAACTTCCTGATCCAATGGCTTTTTCTATGGTGATTAAGCATGGTTCCCCAAATTTGGTCGACTTTAACGTTTGGGTGTAGTCTCTTTTTCCGGCACTTTCGCTCCATATTTCGGTGCAGGACTGGAAGCTACTGACGCCTGAGAAGTACGACCGCACCTGTTTCCACATCGAGGCGGGAGCGGGTCGTGACCCAAGCCAGTGCGTGCCTCATGCTCTTCCAACCAGCACCATTTTTCTTCGTCCTGTCCTGTCTCTTCCAAGTCTTTCTTTCTCAGTTTCTTAGTTTTTTTAAAACTGTCCTTCTCTTTTTCTTTCTTTCTGCGGCGGGAGTCCTTATTCTTTGGTCCCTGGCGGCGTTTGGCTCGAGGCGTCCGTGGTGAGGGGTTGGTGAAGCCCAACCCTTCCGAAGAAACCTGACCAAAAATCCACAGGGAAAGCTCAGAGGGGCCAAGGTGTCTTGTTTTGCCCCTCCTCGTGGGCGCAATGAGTTACGGTGATCGCGCCTCTGGCCTGAAGAAGGAGACAAAGACCGAGGCAGAACTGTTGGCCAGTACGGTCCAGTCTTTGGCTCAGGCCGGCATGAACGAACATGGGTGCTGGATGAACAACTAACACTAACAGGGAAGGTAAAGACGACACCTGAGTAGTTCAACATGATACTTCGTGGTTCTTGCAGGATGTTGTGAATCATTCATTGTCCTCCTTCTGCCAGGCAGAGGACACCACGAACCGGGTCCTCACCACGCTGCATGGACAGACGGAGCAGCTGCACCGGATCCAGGCTGATGCTGAGGCCATCAACCACAACTTAGACCGATCGGAGTGGCTCCTGCGCGCCCTGGTGGCTCCTGCACGCCGGGTGACGGGAGAAATCGGTTGTTCTGCAATGGTCCCAACCGGGCTGGGGTATATAGTGGGCCGAAATTGGGGAAGTAGTGGGGCTGGGTCCGACGGATGGGGGATGCATCATAGGTAGTAGAGCATACCGGCTCCTTTGGTGGGGGAGATGTGAACAACTGACTATCATGGAAACGTCTTCTATACCTTTTATGGGAGAGGAATTCTCTTTGTGACATTTTTTTCGCCTTCTGTTCTCCTAAGGTTTGAGGGCAGCAGCCAAATAGGGAATCGGGGAAAGGAGCAGAATGTTTGACGTTTTTTGGGGGCAAGCTTCTGGAATGAAGCCCAATAGTTGTAGTGAGGGCAAAGAAAGGGAAAAAAGAAGTCCAAGACTAACCAAAACTAGACGAAACGAAAGGCTTCAACCCCACAGTCAACAGCGTGCAGTCAGCTACCATTTGTTCATGAGTGCCTCCAGGCCCCAGAAATGGATCCCCAACTGCTCCACTGCGCCACCCTGGACGGAGCATCCCAGCCTCGGAAATCCATGGGGCTTTTGGTTTTGGTAGACCCCGATGATGGCAAGGGACGGGCATCCACCCTTGGCTTTACTACTCGCGAGGCGTCCTCCCCAGGGTGTGCGAAGTCCTGCGAGCGAACCTCTGAGGTAGCTTGAAGCCGTGGGGCTGGGTCCGGAACATCTTCCGCAAGGATCCGCAGGCGGACAGCAGAGCCAGCTCAGTGGAATGAGAGTGAATTCTTTTGAAAACGGCTGCCTTCAGCAGGTACTAAAGAATCTCCGAGTCACTGAGGCTTTGCAGCTGAGGGGCATCTGAGGGAGGACCATCACCTGCTTGTGGTCTTTCAATGCTTGTGGTCTTGTTCCGCAGGCACGACCCCTAGATGAGCGCGTCTCCAGCTCCTCTGCCGCGGCGCCGGCGCCCGCGCCCGCGGGGTACCCGGAGGCGAGCCGCGGCGCGCAGCGGCTGCTGGCGGAGGACGCGGCCAGGAAGGCGAACGCGCCAGGAGCTGAGCCGAAAAAAAGTGAGCTGGGGGTGGTGCAGGGTGGCAGACTCTGAAGCAAGTCAGTTGATAGACGGTTTTAGGTTGAAGATGGTTTTAGGATTTGGCCAAGAGTCGACTTCTCCAACATGTTCTAGGTACGCCTTGCAGTTTTGAGCACATTTGGCCCCTTAGGCCCGCCCTTCTACGGCCTCTCCCCTGTCAGGACAACAGCTGACGAGGCCCGATTTGCGTGATCCTCACGAGAAGACCTACGACCAGATTGACAACATGCTGGAAGGTCTTTTAGTGAAGAGTCAGCAGATCAATCACACGCTGGGGCATCACAACCAGCTCATTCCCGAGATCGCCGAGAGCGTCGAGCGGGACCAAGCGCGGATCGCGAAGCAGAAGGCGGAGATGAAGAAGCGCATTGGCTGAGAAGATCTCGGGCGCTGATTTGCCCAGAGATAGCATTAGGATCTGCAGATCGAACTGATCTGTTCCCCAGCTAGCTTGTGAAAAGATCACGCAGATACTTGAGAGAGGGTGTTATGTCCACCATGTGTACTTGTAGACGGTTTTTGGAAAGCACCACTTGCTTTAAACCACACTGTCGATCTAGAGGGGGTGATTCGAAGAGAGGACTAGCCGCTGGGGAGCATGCACATGACTACCCGGTCTGGAATCATTTGGGCCGGGCCCACAACCGCAGCGCTCAGCAGCAGTTTGAAACTTGCTGTTGAAGGTCGGTGCTCAGAGGCATCGGAGTGACATTTGGGTTTGCGAGGCAGGTCTTCAAAGCTTAGGACAGGCTCCAAATCGATGAGAGAAGCCATGCCAAGACCCGCGAGAGCAAGAGAGAGGTCAATAGAGACCTTATTTAGGCCCCATGTTTGTTTTTTTTTGGGTGAATGTTTTGCAACATAGATAGTTTTGCAACATAGAAGGGGGCCCAGCTGGGGGTGTCAGCCTGATTTGTGATTCGAGAAAACAAAAAGGTAAAGGATCTGTGAGTAGAATCTTTGTACGTTTTTATAGTTGCGCAGAAAGTGGACAGAAAGAACCATGAGGTGCAAGCGAAGGATCTATCCCTCCAACAGTATCTGAAGTGACGTGTGATGATCGACTGAAGATGCCTCTGAGAAGGGTCGCTGTTGCGCAAGGGCGCACGGGCCTGGCGTGTTTGGCACAGGGGGGTTGTAAGGACCTGCAAAAGGCGCACCGGACTGGTACATGAGACCTGCAGGCAGACGTGATCTTCGCTTAAGTAGAAGATTTGCATACCTGTTGGGTGGTTAGGCTAGGCATGGCTAGGCTCATTATATAGGTGGCTTGGTTTCTTGAGCGTGGTTGGGCGTGGAGGGAAAGTACTTTCAATGATCCATTTTCTGTTTTGGTGCATCCTAGCAGCTTCGAACCGGTGGATAAGTTATAGTTATATACCTTTCTATTCTTCCCGCTCTTGCAGGGACATGACATGTGACATGCGTTTATATTTTGTCCTCCTTTTTTTTGAAACGTAGATCCCACCATTCCAGTCACACTTGTGGAGGCCTCCACTCCAAAATCCAGCACCTCTATTTGAGCTGCACAGACTTTCACCAGCTTTTCAGACCAGCTCTGAATGAGCCACTCAGCGCACCCGGAAGCCCCTCAGTTCAGCTTCCTCTCCCGCTCTGGTCCGCTCCGGGCAGCGGGGAGACAGGTGGATGTGGCGGGCACCGGCCTGGAGCACTTGGTGAACGGGAGCATGGGCAAGGCCGAAGGGCGGGGCGATCACTAGGCGGAACCGAGGTGAGTTGGACGGAGGCCCTTGCTGCTTGGTTGGTGAGTAAGGGGGCTTGAACATGACCTCTGACCAACCCCAAAGAATTGGACACACGTTGGAAAACACATGGAGCAGCACCGATTAGAAGGTGGGCTTTACTGCTGTTGTTTTTCTTTTCCTTTTTTCTCCTCCTGCCTCTTTGAAGACGGCTCGCCGCCGCTGTGGCCCAGCTCCCCAGCGCCCGTCTGGACGGTCGCAGACGCGAAGGCCTTGTCGGTCTACGCCACCAACGAGTCCGAGAAGGCTCGGTCGAGACCCGGGGGGAGAACCAGGCGGGAGGAGAACCAGAATGGGAGGAAGAGGAAGTCCTGACGTCGGCAGGATCCGGAAGGGATGACTTCAGATCCTTTTTGGGTGCTCGAATTCTCTGTGCCTCTCTCTCTCTCTCTCCGGCTTCACATGTGTTGGGGTTGACAGTGCCACTTGTTGCCATGAGTCTTGAGCGGGGGCATCTTTGCTTGCTCGTGTGTTGTTCGGTCACAGAGATGTTCATGGCATTGTCGCTTGCCATATGCACCATCACCATCACTGCCCGAAGGTCCTTTTCTAGACTAGGGATCAAACATCTGCCTTGATTGAGGCAAGGACCAGGATGCCAGTAACTGTTCAACAATCCATCTCTCACTCGCTGGCCACGAAAACGGTCACGCACCACTCCTGCCCGAGCTTTACGCAGCTTTGCCGATTCTGATTGTTCTCCTTGGGCATGGGCGGGCTAACCACCAGGCATCCCAATCTTGCACGCTCGCGCACGCGCTTCTTTTTTGCTGCGCGGGCAGCTGGAAGGTGATGAAGTTCATCAATGCCATGCCGCCTGCATGCAGAGAAGAGCATTTGCTCCGTTGTCTTCAATCTTTTTGTTTCAGTTTCTCATGAGTGAAAGAGAGAAAGAGGTACACTTTACTTTGGAGCTTTGCAGCTGTTCGGAAGAGAACGATGCAAATGCCTGTTCTGTCTGAGTGCTAACACCTATGATCGCTCTGTGATCGTTAGAGCTCATTTTCAGCACCCTTTTTGAGTGAAAGGTTTGAGATTCTACGCATCATGTGCTTGGGGACCTGCACATCAGTGGGTCTTGCTTCTGATGAGTTCAATCAGTTGAATCTCCGCAAGCCCGGAATCCGCTTGGGGAGCACTTGGTCGTGGAGAGTACTTCAACTGCATGTTGAGACAAACCCAGATAGAGGCCCGGAGTGGCTTCCTTTCTGAACAATGTCGTATTTCAGTCCACCCACCCACATGTCCCAAAGCCATCAGGCGCCCCTTGAGACTCATCACCTTCACTGCTTCACCGCGTGACTCACGCGCCTGCGCTTCTTCGGAGCCTCCCCTCCGTGAGGAAGTTGGATCCCGATGAGATCGTCTCCGTGGAGGATATCGCGCCCCCCTCGGAGGATGGCACGGTGGTGCTCACGCCCGGGAGCCCGGACCGCCCGTGGACCTGACCTGCCACGACCTTTGGCCGCGGGCTGCGGGGTGATGGATCGATAGCTCGGACTGGACCCACGCCGCGTCCGAGTGAATGGGGTCATTGGCTTGGTCAGTGCAGTCTTCCCCTTCACAATACAGCCGTGGCTGTGGTCGACTTGACCGCAGCCACCATTTGCCTCCAGTGTCTCCCATGGCCCTAGCCAGTGATAAAACTTGTTTTGGATGCCATTTTTGGAGTTGAATGGCATTTTCTTGGAGCTTTCCATCATATCTCACGACAGACGTCCTTTTTCTCCGTCTTTCTGCCCACAGATGTGGGGGCGCCCTCTTTCAATCCACCTCTCCCCCTCACACTCCTCACTCCTCCCCCCCGAGGACGGTCTTCAAGCTTTTCACCCAGTACTTGGACCTCTTTGGCAAGCCCAGCCGGGAGTTCTTGAAGAAGCTCTTCCCCTTCGCCGAGGTGCCAAGAGACGCACCTTCCGCGCGTCCGACGTGGCTCGACACGTCGGCGTCCGCCGCGGGCATCGGCAGCGGGGTGGAACGGAGCCCGGAGAGGAACAGGTGGGGGATGGGAGGGTGAAACGACGAGTTGGAGGCTGATGTTTGCCACTGGAATTGTGGATCAATGAACGAATACGTGGATGGATGAATTCTATTTCATGAGTGAGCTAAATCGATGGCGATGTAGATGACAGGACGTCATGGAGAAGGTGGCCATTGCCGAGCTGACCCTGGACCGCAAGTCCGAGGATAGGGACCCGTTCCGACGGAGCGTGGAGGGAGCGTGGGGGACCATTCCGGTCGGTGCGCCCTTGCCTAGAGAGGTTGGAGAGCCCCAAGGTCGCCCATCCCATATGTACCACAGACCAGGGTCCTAGGTCTCTCAACCTCTCTTGGTGAAGCTGGCCTCCTTCTTTCGAGTGATTCCCCCTGATAGCGAGAGCGTCCCTACTTCAAGCATAGGAGGAGGTGCCTGTGCGCGCAGCCTGGGGCCTGGGGTGTGCCTCTGGGCGCTGCAGAGTGCGGCTCCAGGGTGCTGTTGCCAGATGTTTCTGATTTATGGGCCTTTATGGCAGTGTGCGCTTCGACATGGGCCTGCATGCCCGTGTCGCTGCGATGTGGCTGCCAAAAAGGTATTTGGTGCTATTTGGGGTCTGAGTCTATGCTGACACACACACACACATATATATAATATATATATATATATGTGTGTGTATAACTATTTTCATCGGAGGGTGGGGGCCTACTTGGTGCCTTTCAGCAGTCTTTTTCGTCACTTTGGGGGCACGGGCTTCGTGAGCGCCACCCGAACGGCCTTGCTTTCGCCCCGACCCGGACGAAGAGACGTGGCCGGCCTGCCCGACCTGCCCGACCCCTGCGGAACCTGCAGTTGGTCGTGTCATGCAGACTGCAACCAGCTGCGAGATCATGGTCGCTGCTTTCGGACTTTGCAGGTTCTGTAGGGGGTAAGCTCAACCATCTCGAAGTCGGTGACACACATGGGGAATGATGCATGCCTGCCTTTGACCATTTCAGCTCTTTGGTGCGCTTGACCATCCCGAACTCAGTGACCCACACGGCTGAAGGTGCCTTCAATAGTTGCAGCTCTTTGGTGAACATGACCATCCCAGACACAGTGACACCGGAACTGTGCCTTGAGGTTTGCACATCCCGGGTGATCTTGGCCCGAACTCAGTGACCCATATTGCTGGGATGAGTGCCTTTATCGCAGCTCTGTTGTGAACTTGTCCATGCCGGACTCTGTGAACTGCATGGAAACTTGCGCCTGCAGGCTGCAGTTCTTGGCACCGAAAAAATGGGAGACACTGGATCGCGCCTTTGGGCACGACCCTGGATCGTGCTTGTTGGGGTGAGGATCCTGCTCCCACCTTGACTGTTGATGCATTTGCTCTTGATATGCTGTAGGAATGTGGTTGTGCTGGCAGGTGTCTATATTATACCTTTGCTCTCTAGCAACCCCTCTTTGTTTTGCACATGGCAATTCCAACGGGCTGCTCGCTGCATCAACTGGTTGGACTTCACTTCAGTCGACGATGACATACAGTGAGGGCGTCGACTCTCTGGTGAACGATGTGCAGTGTACAGACATGCCACTCGAGAGAGAGAGAGAGAGTGTGAGAGTGTGAGAGTGTGAGAGTGTGAGAGAGAGAGGGAGATAGGTCGAGCCTTTAAAAAAAGATGTGCCAGGCTCGTAGAACATGTTGCTTTCAGAGAGCTGTTCTATTGGAATTACACCCGTGCTGAATTCTTGGATGTGAAGATCCAAGCATTGCACGCTGTGCTTTGACGAGACACAGAAGTGGACGACCCTGAGCACTTGGAAGAACATGTCCCTCTACCAAACCAGGGTTTTCCCGATGTTTTCCTCTGCCATGTTTGGCTGGACCGCGCGCTCCAGCGCCCAACTCACAGCTCTTCGCTTTGTTTCCGGCGAGGAGTTCTTGGATCGTCAAGCTCGCGCCTACACCTACGCGGACTACATTTGCGAGTACAAGTCGTGGCATCCTCGGTCCGCTGTCAACGGCGCCTGGGGGGCGTTTGGACTCCGGTCTTTCCGTCGGGTCAGCGGGTAGAAGGGTAGAAGTGGGATTCCAATTAGACGATCGATGACTTTTTTGCGAAGGTCGTGGCTGATCAACAAAAATCAAGCTCTTTCTTCATGACGTGGGGTCTTGACCCATGCGCCTTTGAAGGCGCTTGGTCTTCTTTGTTCTGCACGCCACCGTCCCAAACACTCTTTTGTACCGCTTCCCTGCAGGTTGTGGTCCCTCACCACCGGTGCGCTGAAATCCCTTCACCACCGCTGCGAGGGTCCACCGTCCGCGCGCGCCCGCGCTGACCAGACCGTCAGGTTGAAGATCCCGGTCCGGGCGACTTAGAGCGCGGGGCGCAGCATGGTGCCAGAGCGAAGCGGTTGAAATGAGATGGCCATGGCCAAGGGAATCCTATAGCAAAACACAAAACATATATATATATATACTTGGGTCTGTCATTCAGCAGTTATCATCCTTTTTGAACAAGGCCTTTACTCACCATCATATAACTGCATATATATATATATATGTATACTGTATGTATACTGTAGAAGTGTATACCATTATATGAATGTCAGCGGCCGACCTCTTGGATTCTGCATCTTTTGAAATAGGCTTTGGCGGTATGCACCTTGGCACATCGTTACCCCTGGCGAGCTGATATTCCAGAAGTTTGGTCCTTACGCGCTCGTGAGATGCTTGAGCACCTGGGTGGCCTGGAAAGAAAGGTATTCAAGGGAAGAGCTCTCCTCGGTGGGGGAAGCTTCTACTACTTCCTGAGGGCCGTGGTCGCAAAGAATAGACCTCGGTGGGTGCTCCACGTCGGAGAAAGACGCAGAGTTATGAAGAATTGATCCGCCGCCCGGGCGACCGTTTTCATGATTCTCCAGAGAGGTCTGGAGGGCCGAATCAATTGAGCGGAATTCGTCGTCAGATCTCACTCTCTCTGTCGGAGATTCTGCTAAGATTTCAACAGCAGCAAGTGATTGGCTCTCACATGTCCAGACCCAAAAGCCGTATACGTTTGTTTGGCTCTCATGGAGGGTGATTGGGTGACCATTGATTCTTTGTAAAATTTGGGAAGGCCTTATTCCACAAAATTCAACCGTTGCTAAGCAATTTTTCCGCACGCCCCCAGCCGTTCTTTTTTCCAAGTCCTGAAACTCCAGCAAGCTCGGGTGAGGTGGCCAAGTACACCGAGATCCTCCCAACCATCAAGCAACGTTTGGCTCTCAGCCGCGCAGAGGGCGGACATGCAGCGGTTCGCGGGAGGTCTCTCTATTCTTCATGCGCCCCCCACATCGGCCCAAGTGCTTTCTTTTCCAAGCCTTTGCCCGCGCACCAATTTGTATAATATGAGTATTCTACTAACTCATTATAGAATATGATGATACATGTATATGATGATCATAATGGGTTCCCGCATGATCCGGGCGTCATCTGGGGCACAGGACATCAGAAAGGGCTTGACTAGATTTGACGGGTGGCTGGGCTCCTTTCACACTCTTCACAGGAGGTGACGGTGGCAGGCACAAGACCAGGCGGACCATTTTCAACCTAGATCCTCCAACTGTGCCAAATTTATGATTTTTGGGCTGGCTTTATAGATGGAAAAGCATAAATTTGACACCATTGGAAGATCCAGGAATGGCAAGCCGGGTTCACCCAGTGTCCTAGTAACTCCCCAGCCCACCCGCTCCTCAGACCGGTCGCCGACACGAACCGAACGATCGCTGAGGCGTGTACTCGATTTGCTCCTCCAGCGACTACCACCCAGGGAAGTGCCAACTTCTGGTGGTGCGAGAAGACTGGCAAGCCAAGGGTGGCTTGGAGCCGAAGAAGAACCGCGCGGACGGACGGTCGGGTGCGTCAACAGGTGCGGACAGGCGACCTGTCACCTGAACTTGAAGAAAAACGTTGACTTCTGGAAGCTGATGGTGCAGTTGCTTCACAGCAGCCCTGGAGACGGGGAGACGTCGATGTTTTGGAGATTCCATCTGACCTCAGACAGCCACCTCCGCAAGGCCGCGACCTGCGGCCCTGTGCTCTGAGGTGGTGACACCAAGTTCGGCCTTTGCTCCAGCTTTCTGACCTTCTTGAGGCTGCCCGGGCACCACCAAACCCGCGAAAACATCTGAGAGACTGAGTGAAGGACTTCCCAAATCGAACCGGCCCGGTGGGTAGATTAGATGATGGTAGTCACTACCCAAGAAGTCGGGGGACTCCGACTCAGATGGACGCTGGTCACTTTTTTCCACCCTGACAGAGACCCACGTGGAACCTGAAAACCACTGGGGTTGTAAAGGAAAAACCGCCTTCCAAAGGTCCATGCCATCGGGTTGCCATGTGGACCCGTGAACCGCGGGTGGTGCTGGGCACCGAAGAATGTGTCAGGCCGGGCACCGTGTGCGTCGCCCATGCCACGCACTCCGTGATGCAGATCCCTGAGGATGATCGTCGGGCCGAACCTGCCACATGGTTGGGTCGTTGGTCTCCTACTTGGAGATGTCGGCCAAGCACCCCAAAAAGAACGTTTTGTAGTAGCTGAAGATGTTGAAGTGCCACAACTTGGCTGCCGCGCTTGAGAGCCGATGTTCGAAGTTGGGCACCACCAGTGTGTTCCCACTTGGCAGAGACTTGGGGAGTCCTGTGCATGATTCGAGCTCTAGCCATCTACCCTCCTTTCAACCCTTGTGGCTCTTCCAGGGTAGTTCTACGGAGGGATGGCTTGCGGCGGGGTGGGCGATTTGGTCCATGTCTCACAGCACCTATAGGCGCGTATGGTTCGGTTCGGAGCGTCGACCGCGAGAGGTCTCGGGGGCTCCCCTTTTTGGACATACAGGCCTAAGTCAAGAGAATAGGAGCGCCCGCAGGTGATGTGACCTGAACTAGGACCCAGAAAACCTGGGGTACCGATGGGATAGTCGAACTAGGGTTCTTCCGCCGTCTTCAACCTCTACAGCCAGCTTCGGAAACACGTTCGCCAACCGGCCCATAGTGCACCTCCATCCCGTTTTTTTCGTTATTTTTTGCGACGGCTTTGCAACGCTGCGGGCTTGGCGCAAGGACAAGACCGCGCCAATCTTCATGGCTGGTCTGGGAACTGGCCTTGCCCCATTCAGAGCTCCTGGGAAGAGATGAGATTGGCAGGAGATGAGCTGTTGAGGGGACTCTGCTGTACGTGATCTTGAGTTGCTTTTGGGGTTCCTTTCGCCTCGGGTTTGATAGTCCATCCTTGGGCAGATGTGGGACATGTTGTCCAGCTTGGGACATGGGCAGGGACATCCACGCCTTGGCAGCGAGCAGCCAAGTCCCGAGGCCTTTATTGAGCAGCGGAAGCACGAGAAGACTCAGGCGTGCTCGGCGGGCCGAAGCCGCCGGAGGCGAACGCGCAGGGGAACCCTTCGGGCCAAACTTCGGGCGAAGAATATGGGTGTGTATTTGATAGGGAGGCACCTTGGCTGGGTAGATGGGTCTATTTTCCGACCCTCCCAGGACGTCGTTGCCTGGGAGGTCTCCTTGTTGCGATGCAGACCACATCTAAGCTACTACACAGGAGGTTGGTGGTTGGCGGGCAAGTGGACCATAGTCGCAGGCTGAGTGGCAAGCATGAAGCCGGACCTGGTTTCACTGACGTAGCATTTGGCGCGGTTCTTGGAGCAATGCTTCTGAAGGTTTACCATGACACGTTCTTTTGGAATCACCCCTGAAGCCCTTAGGGCCAGAATGTTCCATTGGGTTGCAAGAAGTTGATGAAGAGAGACTCCAGCCGATTGACTGGACCACTTGGCTCAACACCGCACCGCATCACCGGCCTTTTGGTACCAGATGTTGACTCAGACTCCCGCTCCAACAATAGCATTTGGTGGGGCCTTTTGGATGTGAGACGACGTGAGGTTGTGCATGTTGTTGGAGAACCCTTCCGGTTGGCTCAGGCTTGCTCGTCCCGCGCCACGTGCCCAGGGCCACCGGGTGGGCCCCATGACCCTCTTCTTCGGTGGTCGCCACGCGCACGCGGAGTACTACTACCGGGATGAGCGCCTTGGAGAGCAGGTGCTGCAGACCAGAGGTGAAGTGACCTGAACTAGGACCCGTCACCAGGCTTACCAGGGAGAACCCGAACTGGCCGCCTAGTTCGGGTTCTTCAACCTCTGTTGGGAGGACCTGACCGAGATTCAGGACGCAGGATGACTGGCGCAGGTGTGGTACACCTGGTCCAAAACAGGGTGACGGTCGATCCTGCAAGCCTCCACACCATGTGAAGAAGTGACATCCCAAAGCAGTGCGGAAGCTTTACACCATGGAGATCACTTCCGTGGACACCCTGAGTACCTGGGCCTCCCTGAGCACCCCTCTGCGCGTCTGCCTCACGGGCCACCCGGGCCACCCCGGCCATGACGTGCCGTCCGAGGTTTGAGAAGTTCGAGGCCGAAGGCCTAGTGAAGTGCTGCAACGCCTGGTCCCGAGACCAGAAGCAGAAGGCGCCTGCACTGGTCCCTTGCGCGCGCGTGCGCGTGTGCGCGATCGATCGAAAGACCCGGAGGAATCCTGACACCAAGCGTAGCGGCGTAGGTCTATGTCCAGCACAAGATCATGGAACAAGCAGTTGGGAACTTATTGAATGCTGTCGTGACGATAGGCTTGCGAGGCTGTTAGGCGGGTATCTTGAAAGCGCACTCCAAGGGAGCAACTGGTGGCCGACATGAGTTTCAGCTGAGGATGACATCTGGGCCAACCTTGGCCGAGAAGGCTCTAGGGGCTTCTTCTTCCTGTGCGGCTCCAAGCAGCCTGAGAAGGACATCTGGAGTGACACCCAATCTTCCAAAATCGCTCCTTTAGCCTAGGCAACTGTTTCCCAAACAGCGTTCCAGCACCTGACCGCGACGAAGGGCGGCTCAAATTCCAAGAGCGTTGTGCAATGTACTTCTTTTTTTGGCTCAGGTTTCGCCTGGAAATCTCCCCAGTAGACTGGAGAACTCACAGATCTTCACAGGCTCATGCATACCTAAGGCATTGCCCTTTCTTATAAAAAGCAAGCATCAACTGGGTTCTGGCATGAATACATGTTGAGAGTTGCGCAAAAAGACTATTTGGAGCACACAGATGTAGACTGCCTGGCTTTGCCCTAGGTCACACAGCATGAGATGTGTTGGGTGTTCTATTCCAAGTTTTGATCGCGACTTGCTCATCTTGCTCCAACCGCTCCCAAGAGTTGCTCATGACTCATAACAGTCAATCACCTAAACCCAGAAACATGCATGTTCCTATCTCATAACCGGGAGCCTATCCCATTTGCAGCCCCAAAACGGGTTCTGCTCGAGCTTCTTGACTTCCCAAGAGCTTCTGGACTTCCCAGCTTTCTTTTCTTTCGGGGCAGACCATGGACGCAGCACTGGTGGGGGCGCCCCGTTCGGTGGAGGACGTCTTCGCCGCGCTGATTCAGATCTTCGAGACCAAGGGCGGCCGCTGGGCTGAGCAACTGCCGCTGGGGGGGGGGGGAAAACCGACCTGGGGGTGACCCAGTCTCAAGCAGAAAGAAGTGGTTGGAAACCCAGTCTATGGCGCCAGCTTGAGATACATAGGACATATAGTAATACAGGAAATGGCTGGGACTGGAGAAACATCCTTTCTGGGTGGGACTCGGTTTCCAGGGGGTGGTTTGGTTGAGGCTAGTGCCGGGATTTTATCTGCCAGGTTTGAGGGGCGGTGGCATTCTTCCGGAAGCGGGCAGGCCGCCCGATTTGAGCAGTTTCTATGGAGCTCAGGGTTTGGTTTGGCTGGCTGAGCCAGCCCAAGGCTATCCCAACTACAAGCACTGGAAATAGCTTTGGGGGTGATATTCATGCAGGTGCTGACCATGTGTTGGCCGACATGTCCTTTCTGTCCCCCAGATCTGCCGGGACGGAGGTCTGACGAACCATGAAGCGCACAAGAAGATGGAAAGCCTGCAGCTGTCCGGCCGATATGTGGGAGACCCCAGCCAGTGTGTGGGATTTTTTCAGTGAGCGGCCACCACGTGTGGCCACACGTGTGGCATAGACTAGAGAAACACCGCGCGATATGACCATGACCTTTAGGTTCAATAGATATGACCGTTCGATGGGTGTCCAATGGACTATAGTGATAGTGACTATACCCTGCACTACTATCAGGGATCTCCAGCCAAGTCCATCTCAGTCCTGTCCCAGCGAAAGCTCCCCACAAAGTTCGAGTTGTTCGCCTATTGAACGTGCTGTGCTGACAGGTGTTGGGGTGGTCTTGCAGGGGTCTTCAAAGCAAATTTGTAAGGACATCTTCTCAGACCCCCTCCGACTTTGGGGGAATTTTGCCATTTCGTCTAAACCTATATATACATATATATAGATATTAAATCATTGTGCATTGCGTTCTCGTGTTCCTGTGGGAGGAGTCGTGCGCAGTACTCCGTCAGTGGGTCGGACTTCCGTCCGCCAGGGTTGCGTTGCCATTTTTCGCCACCGAGCGTCCATCATTGGGTCACCTCCAACCCCCACGGCCCACAGATTTGCGACCTGCCCACCCTGAACATTCCACAACGCCTTTGAGGGTGGATTAGGACTGTCGTGTCGCTGGGGTAGTTCATGAGTCAAGTGTCGGAAGTTCCGAGTTCAGGTCACGGAGGTCTACTAAAGGAGCCAGCTGTGCCCGGTGCCGCTGGGCGCGGGCGAATTGTGCCAGCTCGTGGACTTTTAAGGACGGGGTTGAACCATACCAGCACCCTCACTGACGGGGTCTCCAAAAAGATACCCTAGGTACACTTCTTGTGGATCTCCATTGAGCACCCCGTGTCCACTTGGGTTGGTTGCACGCTCTCACCATCACGACCGTGGGTTCCACCCCCCACTGATTTGGATGGTGACGTTTTCTCCGTTTTTCATTTTTGAGTCTCACCTGATCGATGGACCACAGAAACTAGACGACGAGTGGCCCGAAAGCATTTTTCATCACGTAGGAAATCAGAGTGCGAGTTATCCGGTAAGTGTGTAGTGAGAAGTGTTAAGTCGAGTGAGTTGAGGTAGTGTGTGGGTTTCTGTGCGTGTGTCTATGTCCGTGTGGAAACGAGTCTGCATATGTGTGTGTTCGTGGAAGTTGAGGGAGTGTGTGGGTGTCTGTGTGCGATGCGGCCTCCCAAACCCCCCACCGGCGGCCAAGCGGTGACAGCCCAGCTCATCGTCGTGAGCATTTGGGCTGCTGGTAAGGGGACAATGGCAGCCAGCGTGCTGGCTTACCCACTTCAACTATGATGGCAGCCAGCGTGCTGGCTTTGCCATCTGGACAATGGCAGCCAGCGTGCTGGCTTACCCACTTCAACTATGATGGCAGCCAGCGTGCTGGCTT